ATTTTAAAAGTATTTACATTAATTTTTCTAATATTTATTTTAACATATATTAAACAAATATGAATTTAAAATTTTTTAAATTTTTGTATTAATTTGAATTTTTTTCATTTTATTTTATACTTATTTATCATAAATCTATAATTTTCCATCGAGTTAATTATCATGAGATTACCGTAGTAATAATAATACAACCGAAAATACGCACAAACCTGTCTAATGTTTACACAATTAAGTGTGGCATTAAAAACTCCACGCATTGCACAGCGTTATTTGCCGCCGCTACATGAAGAGGCGTCTGCCAATTGCGGTCTCGGGCGTTTACATCAACTTTGTATCTTAACAGAATGTCTACTACGTTGTAATTGTCCCAGCAGCAGGCTCGATGCAAAGGAGTCAACCAGTTCTTATCTTTATTATTGACCGCCGCACCGTTTAACAAGAGAAGTTCTACAAAAACGGTATCTCCCCTAAAATCACATTACAGAAACGTTATAGCTTTACGATAATCGAAACAACTTTTGGCAAATTTTCAACATTTTTATCGGGATATTAACCTGTATGCTGCCGCATGTAAAAGGGAATGTTCCTTGTCTTGCCAATTGACACCTTCTTTTTGCGATAGCAACGTACAAACTGCTTTCACATTTCCGTGAAATATGGCTTGTAACAAAGGAGGCTGTGAAAATAAACAATTACAAGTTCATTTTCCTTTCATCTAAATTACAGATAAATGTTAGATTCTCGTGAAATATTAAACAACGCAAATATAATTAAAATTTCATTGAAGTTCACTTGTCGAATGCAAAAAAAAATATGTATATCGTACATAATCAAAATACGAGCAAGATCCTACAAGCCTTTCACGTATCCTCCAGAACAAAGAAACTTGATTTTTAAGAAAATTCTTAAGACCAAACGCGCAATGAACAGCATGCAATTAAGTTTCACATGGAGAAGGATGGAAGCGGTAAAGACGTACCAAGTTCACGCGTTGGATTAAAATACAAAAAATATACAGACATGCGCGAGCTGAACTATGTCTCCTAGATAAACGTGATAGCTCAGGCAAACCCGAGGGAGAAGATATACAATTTCGTAATACCTTTTCATGAAGATCCTTGAAGGTATTCAAGGTGCTGGCCAGCGCGGCCCAAGCGATTTCTGTGTCCGCAAAGTCGTCGTTCCTCTTCATGGAAGCTGATGGAACTGATGGAAGTCGCATCACGTCAGCCGTGATCGTCATTTTAATTTTATCGTCATGCGCGCGTAATGCGCCCGCAGATTTTTAGCCCCAAACTCGGGTGGCAATGGCCAGCCATGATGTTTCCATCTTTTCAATGCTAGTGTCACTCCCGTGTAGTCGACTGATTTTATATTGATTATGTTTGCGCAAACATAACCAATAAATGAATAAAATCGACTGCTTGCTATCGTCGAGTGAACGACTCGTGTGTCCGTAAATCGTCGTGTTAGTAAATAGTGCGTCTGTTTCTTTCCTCAAGTGAGTTTTCAATCGACGAATAATTAATCGACATTGATTGATAATTATTAACTACTTAATACATTCGGTATTAAAGTCAGTCGACTGCTTGCTATTGTCGAGTACGTAAACACCTCGTGTGTCAGTAAATTGTCGCGTGTTTCTTTCTTCAAGTGATTTTTCAGTCGACGAATGATTAATTGACACGAATTAATAATAATTAAGTAATAAATTTGATATTAATATCAGTCGATTGCTTGCTATCGTCGAACGACCCAGTAAGAAACAATATGTCGACCCGACGTCGATTCGACGTCGAAGAATGGGTTCGAAATTGGATCGAAATTGACATCAACATCGATTTCTTTTTGACTCTTATGTCGACCTCCTGTCGATTCAAACTGCGTAATAGATTTGACATCGATCACAAATCGAAATCCTGCCCAAGGAGAACAGAAAGATCAAAATGACATAAAAATAAGATCAAATTTTAGTTTGTCAAAATGATGTCAAACTGCATAAATA